TTACGATATAAATAGTTTTCAAAAATTTGTAACGGTCACTTTTGAAAACATATGTTGACTATTTATAGCATACAAAACACGAGGTTCAGAATTAAAATGTGTTTGTGTTATGTATTTTTAAAAGGTTACTATAATTAGTTTCAAATTTCGTTAATCGTGTCCCATATTCAACAATCAGCTAGCTTTTTTTCAATTTTCTGTGTAGTTCTTGACTAACGTAATTGAAAAGTATTTTTGTTTCGTTTCTGGTGCTTTTGTTTACATATCCAGGTTTATTAAAATGCGTAAACCTTCTTCTACAGGGCCTCACTTGAAGGACATGTGCCTATCATTGACTATCTCCTAGAGCAGGTGATTAATAAATATAAAATATAGATATAATAATCATTTAGTTATTTTACATCCGATGTACAAATATATTATTTTTGTTGTCACGCGGAGGCAGCGTGGCAGAGAGGTTTAGGGCGCTGGTGTTGCAATCCGGAGGTCCCGGGTTCAAGGCCTCCACCCTACCAATAGCAGGATTTGTTTCTCGGTAGTCCCGAGTTCAAATCCTCGGTCACACTTTGTAAATAGCCAACTGGTCTGCCTCCTGCCAGGTGGGATTTTTAACTATGTTACGTTTATTTGAAATATTTGTTTCCTTTGTTTCAGTGGCATGCCTGTAAACTAGCTAAGCTCAGTGTATGTATAGCTAATTGCATGACCACTATAAATAAGATTTACATTTTTACATTTACATTGTCGCTGTTGCTAGGGAGCGATGCTCCATCCAGTTACTGAGACTTGCACCCCCTCCCCACTCATGTGCGCTGTCAAGAGGAGCCAGCACCACGCTGTCAAATATTACCTGGCACGCGGTTTTCCATTAAAGTTAAAGGATGTGAACTGGAGAACAGTGCTTCATGTAGCCGTTGCGTGCGCTGATATTCAAACTGTGGACTTGATCTTGGAGGTAAACAGAATTGAGCTTGAAGTAAGGTATTGATATCAAGTATATTTATCTTCACAGTTGAAATGGAAAATATCGCAATGCGGGGAGGGAGGAGAAATTCACGGAGGAAACGTTGATAGTTAATTTAGGAAAATGGTTAGGAAACTTGGCAAAGTTCTTTGTTGTATGTTTTTGTTTGTTGTTTTGGGGTTTGACCCTGCACAAAACCTGGCAAAATACAAAAGGTGGTTACGTGTGCTCAATCATACAACTAACCGATAGAAGCATTGCGATTATGTAATTCACCCGTTTTCAATGAGCATAGCACAAAAGAACAAAAGATGTGCAAGTGTCAAGGACCTTCCAACATAAATCGTAGCCTGTTCGTTTGCTTCTTTGATGTTTACCGGCCTTCCTAACCATTTCCCTCTATAAACTATGCGCTCATGACCTATTCAATTAATTTAATGAGAATACAATTAACCTCAAATTAGAGATTAATTTGAACAGTCAAAAACTTAAATAATGAGTTATTCTGTTGAGGTTAAGATGTTAGTTGCAGAATTGAATCATATTTCAGCATGTAAGGACTTCTATAAAGCAAAACTGTTGGGATCATTGTTTCATTTTTGTTAATTATTTTTTAGAATGGCGGTCATAGCCTCTTAGAGAGCAAAGATCAGTATGGCAAAACAGCAACACACTATGCCGCAACTACACAAAACGTGGATGTAAGTTGACTTTAGAGCAAAAACCGAAAAAGGGGATTCCATAGGTTGCTAAGACGTTTATTTTGCCTACATGCCCAGGCATTCCAATTTTAGGAAGTAAATTGACGCGAATCACGAGAAAAATGAGAAGAGACTTGACATCCAAAAGAAATAATAATATGTTAATATATCACCTAAGGGATGATCAGGACTAGTAAAGTTGAGTCTATTTTTAAAGAAAAAAAATTAATAGATAAATAAAAAAGATAAAAAATATATAAAAGGTCACTCACGCAGGCTTGTAGAATAAATCAACAGGCCTACATTTCTTTTAATTTAGTCATACTACCCAGTACGAAGTAAAAAAAAGTAAGTCAGGAATTCAATAAACAGTAAAAATATTGACGGTGAACACTAACCCCAAGTTTTCTTGATTCATGATGTCCAAACCGTCATTTTGATAACCTGAAAGGTGAGCATATTATATTTTCATGGTCTTTCATCGCTTTGTTGTGCCAAATTATATTCCTGAAATTTGACACGATCGTGTAATCACTGGAATGAAGATTTCTCCATATCAACAGAGCAAAGCTTGTCTTCCAATCTCTTGCTGTTTCGCATATTCTCACCTCTCCCCCCACACCCCCCTCCCCCGCTCCTCTCGACTTCCTAGGCTATTCTTTTCTTTTCAATCTTATATCATCTTATAATATGAATATGCTAAAAGCTTCTTACTTTTGTCCCTTGAAATAGATTATAGACCGTCTAATACTTGTTGGAGCTAACGTCAGGGAGAAAGACAACGAGGAGAGGATCCCGCTTCACTTGGCCGCAGAGTTTGTATAATTTTCATTTGTATTCATAGATACGCAACGCTAGCAACAGCACTGTGCGGTCAGCTTACGTTAACTTGTCAAGTGTTTCCACACTACTTGCCAAAAATTACGGGCGATTTTAATTTCTGACAGAAACAGTGTCCGAAAACAAAACCAACTTTTCAGCGTCCGAAATATTTCCAGTACAGTATAAAACTTTGAAGTAGCTCCAAAGCTCTTAGTTTCCTTTATAGAATTTGTGTTATTTTCTCTTCGTTGTATCCTTAA